TGACACCAAGAGAAAATGGTGACAGGGGAGCGTCCTCCAGCAAATTGAAAGCCTCAGCTCTGTTCCTTTGAACTGTGTGGAGGGGGGTCTGTCCCTTCCCTCCAATCAGCTCTCAGAGCTCTCCTCGCTGAGCTTTGCAGAGTGTAATTTCAGCTCTCCACCCCCTTTTTTCTGAATTCTCAGATAAGCTTTATAAATTCAGCACTTTGAATGGATGTAGAGGAGAGATGGCTGCAGATAAACAAGTACAACCTGTGTAGGAGGATTTGTTTCATTTCTGTGTATCCAGTCATTTCCTCGGGTATACGTAATGGCTTACAACCGCTAATAAGGTTTTTGTGTTTGTAATGGATTTGCTGCATTTTGGTGCCGGTACAGGATGTGTTGACTTTATTCCTACAAAACACGATCACGCTGTCCTGGGCTCTGAATCAAAAACTAAATATAACCTCTTAGTGTGATACGGCAAAGCTGTTTACCGGTGCCTGGTCTACTGAGGACCAATGCAGGGACTACCAGCTCTGGCACTTGTGTAGAGTCACATGGGCAGCTCTGCGGTGGCCAAACTGGGGGCAGCAATGGAGGGCTGTGTGCCATTATATCCTATGATCACGTCTACTGTAGACCCCGCCTATCGTGTCTTCTACTTAGTTATTGTACCCGTCCTGTATGGTTCCATATGAATGCCAACGCTGACAAACACTGCGCCAACCCTCAGCTATGTAGGCAACAATAACTGGCTTTTGATGTCAATTTTATACATGTGTACCTGGGATCTCTGATAAATCATTGGGCCTGAGAAAGCAGGTGGGACAGGGACTGGAGCAGGGGAGCTGGGATAAAACTTGGAGGGTGCACATACCAAAATATGGGGCTAATGGTGGCAAAGGAAAAAATGTGTCAGCACCAGTGTGAGGAAAGAAATACCTCTGTGTCAGGGGTTTCACTTAAAAGGAAATGAAATGCCCCTGTGTTCATGGTGTCACTGGAAGGAAATTCCCCTATGTCCATGGTGTCACTGGAAGGAAAATGCCCCTGCATCCATGGTATCACTGGAAGGAAAAATGCCCCTGTGTCCATGGTGTCAATGGAAAGAAAAAAAATGCTACTGTGGTGATACTGGAAGGAAAAAATGCTCCTGTATCCGTGGTGTCTTAGAAAGGATAACATGCACCTGTGTTGGTGGTGTCACTGGAAAGAGAAAAATGCCCCTGCTACTGTGGTGACACTGGAAGGAAAAAAAATGCTCCTGTATCCATGGTGTCTTAGAAAGGATAACATGCACCTGTGTTGGTGGTGTCACTGGAAAGAGAAAAATGCCCCTGCTACTGTGATGACACTGGAAGGAAAAAAATGCTCCTGTATCCATGGTGTCACAGAAAGGATAAATGCACCTGTGTTGGTGGTGTTACTGGGAGGAAAAAAATGCCCCTGTGTTACTAGAAAAACACTGCTGCTGTATCAGTGGGAGAAAAAAATGCCACTGTGTTGGTGATGTCACTGGGAGAAAAAAATGCCATTGTGTTGGTGATGTCACTGGGAGAAAAAAATGCCATTGTGTTGGTGTCACTGGGAGAAAAAAATGCCACTGTGTTACTAGAAAACACTGCTGCTGTATCAGTGTCAGTGGGTGACAAAATGGCACTGTGTTGGTGGTGTCAGTCTGACTGGGATGGTGTCACTGGGATGAAAGAGGTAATAAATTAGGTGCATTGAACCAAGGGGCCCTGGGTGGCTTTAGGGGAGGATGAAGAAGAAACTGAGGGGCTATGAGGTGGTAGGGTGACTATTTAGCACTTTAGAGGTTTTAAAGGGAACAGAGGAGCTCGAGGGCTGAGTTGCATTTGGCACCACCACTCTCGGTGTACTTACAGTTTGAACCCCGTGCCCACCCTGGACTAAAGGCAGCTTCTTCTTCCTCCAGTATCTGGTCATGTGAAATTCTCAGTGGGTGTCCTCTCTTCCTGCTCTTCTGCCCACAATAGGCTGCCTTTGGAAGGAGGAAAGCAGAAGCAGAATCCACCCTTCACCAGCTACCTTGGCCCCTGCTCTGTCGGGAGTGATACCGTTGTCACTCCTGCAGGTGAGCAAGCCACTGGAGAACAGCGCCCAGAGCCAGTAGCCAGAAATTCAATTCTAGCAATAGTCAAGTTCCCAGGTATGGATACAAGACGGGTTTTTTCTGTAGGGATGGAAATGATGTGATTTTGCCCTGAGGGGGTAGCAGTGTTTGACTTTATGAACTTGTGCCGATGACGCTGAGCTTCCTGAGTCGTGACCTCACATATACCCACGGTCTATTTTTAGTTGAGCTTTTTTTTACCATCTCAGTACAGACATTTTTATGACAGGTTATTTTTTTCTATCTTTATTTGTAGCGTAAAGTAAGAGGTCAGGTCTTGTCTGTCAGTGACACACGGATTGGGGGAGATGAGAATATTACCAGGAAGCCGTATATATTATATATTACTTGATGACTGATGGTCTAAATAACGTGTTTCAGAGCTTCTCCCTGCAGTCTTAAAGTGTTACTAAACCCCAGACCCTGCATTCACTATATCTGGTCTCCCCAGACCCTGCATTCACTATATCTGGTCTCCCCAGACCCTGCATTCACTATATCTGGTCTCCCCGGACCCTGCATTCACTATATCTGGTCTCCCCGGACCCTGCATTCACTATATCTGGTCTCCCCGGACCCTGCATTCACTATATCTGGTCTCCCCAGACCCTGCATTCACTATATCTGGTCTCCCCGGACCCTGCATTCACTATATCTGGTCTCCCCGGACCCTGCATTCACTATATCTGGTCTCCCCGGACCCTGCATTCACTATATCTGGTCTCCCCGGACCCTGCATTCACTATATCTGGTCTCCCCGGACCCTGCATTCACTATATCTGGTCTCCCCGGACCCTGCATTCACTATATCTGGTCTCCCCGGACCCTGCATTCACTATATCTGGTCTCCCCGGACCCTGCATTCACTATATCTGGTCTCCCCGGACCCTGCATTCACTATATCTGTCCCCCGGACCCTGCATTCATTATATCTGGTCTCCCCAGACCCTGCATTCACTATATCTGGTCTCCCCGGACCCTGCATTCACTATATCTGGTCTCCCCGGACCCTGCATTCACTATATCTTGTCCCTCCGGACCCTGCATTCACTATATCTGGTCTCCCCAGACCCTGCATTCACTATATCTGGTCTCCCCGGACCCTGCATTCACTATATCTGGTCTCCCCGGACCCTGCATTCACTATATCTGGTCTCCCCAGACCCTGCATTCACTATATCTGGTCTCCCCAGACCCCGCATTCACTATATTCGGTCTCCCCAGACCCTGCATTCACTATATCCGGTCTCCCCAGACCCTGCATTCACTATATCCGGTCTCCCCAGACCCTGCATTCACTATATTCGGTCTCCCCGGACCCTGCATTCACTATATCCGGTCTCCCTAGACCCTGCATTCACTATATCTGGTCTCCCCGGACCCTGCATTCACTATATCTGGTCTCCCAGGACCCTGCATTCACTATATCTGGTCTCCCCGGACCCTGCATTCACTATATCTGGTCTCCCCAGACCCTGCATTCACTATATCTGGTCTCCCCAGATCCCGCATTCACTATATTCGGTCTCCCCGGACCCTGCATTCACTATATCTGCTCTCCCCGGACCCTTCATTCACTATATCTGCTCTCCCCGGACCCTTCATTCACTATATCTGCTCCCCGGACCCTGCATTCACTATATCTGGTCTCCCTGGACCCTGCATTCACTATATCTGGTCTCTCTGGACCCTGCATTCGCTATATCTGGTGAACATCATGGACGCATATGTGCGACATGTGGGTGTTAAGGGTGGCGCACAGTTTCAGTAAGTGGTCGACAAGAGGTTGCAATTTTCAAATAAATATTTGAATCAGGAGAAAGGATTCCCAGAGCACTGTGGGTTAGCTATAGACAGAGCGCTGCAGAAACTGTCTCCTTTCAGGCATTCTGTCTGCAGTTGGAACCTTGAGTTCTGGAAACAAAAAGCCTTTTAACAGCAGCTGTTAAGGAGACTGGAAAACACAAGAAAAGGAGCCTAAAGCTCCACTTACTGGCTGAATATAAGAATACAAAATATTTAAAATATGCAATTTTTATTTTATTCTTTTTTTTTATCTTGACCATAACAAATAAAAACAAAAATAAATACAGAACCAATACACACTCCCTTAAAAATAAAGCCTTCTATTTTCTTTCTGCGTGTATGCGATTTCAGTCCAGTCATCCAGTTAGGTTTTTAGATGATAGTAGACTGGGGACACAGAGCGCGGGAGTAGCAGTAATTAGAATATATTATTGACCCAGCGAGCGTCCGCTTCTGAAAGTGGGTCAGCAGCCCCAGAGCAGATATGTATGGATGTGTGTGACACCGTATTCTAGTCATCTCCGGTTTAACCGACATTCCGAATCTGGGCATAGACTTTCAGTCTCAGCAGACTTTGGCTGTCCGGGTGTTGTGGAACTACAAGTCTCAGGCTTCTGGGATTTGTACCTTCCATGCTGCTATAACAGATGCATTTTTTTTTGTGTCTGGTGAGAGGCTTGTTCCCTTTTCTGTGTTAAAAAACCCCCCCAAAAAAGCACACAACCCTACCCATTTTACAGCAGCCTTGAAGTAAGGTTGTCCCGAATGAAGATGAATTAACCACTTGCTCTCCAGAGGATTTACCCCCCCCCCCCCCCTTCCTGACCAGGCCATTTTTTTTGGGTTAAGGACAACTGCGCGGTCATGCAATGCCGCGCCATAATTACATTTATGGTCTTTTTTTCCCACGAATTGAGCTTTCCGGCAATTTTGAGAAAAAAAACTATATTTTTGACTGTTTTGCTATTAAACATGTCCAGTAAAAAAATTTAAAAAACCAAATTTCGTCATAAATTTAGGCCAAAATGTGTTCTGCTCCATGTCTTTGCGGAAAAAAAAATCCCAATGTGCGTAAATTAATTGGTTTACGTGAAAGTTATAGCGTTTAAAAATGGTGGTATAGATACTGAGATATTTTTTTTTCTTTTTTACTAGTAATGGCGACTATCAGCGACTTATAGTGGGTCTGCGGCGGACATTCTGACACTGGGGGGAACTGACTTGGTGTCACTGACATCCCCAGGGACACCAATACAGTGATCAATGCTAAAAAAAAAAAGCACTGACACTGTACTAATGGCACTGGGCAGGAATGGGTTAACATGTGGGGCGATCAAAGGGTTAACTGTGTGCGGTGAGTGTTTTACTAAGGGGTGGTGTCTGCGTGCTTCACTGTAAGCACACTGCTTATTATTATTATTATTATACAGGATTTATACAGTGCCAACAATTAATATTATACAGGATTTATATAGCACCAACAGTTTGCTCAGTGCTTTACAATGTAACAGGAGACAATACAGCAACAATACAGTTCAAAACAAGAGGGTTAGGAGGGCCCTGATCCTGGGAGCTTACAATCTAAGAGGATCCTCGGCAATCACCCCCCAATGACACAGCCATCCAAAGCAGTGTGCCTGGGCTGACAGGGAGGAGAACTGTTAGTAAACAAAACAGTTCTCCTCCCCGATGAAGATCCTCGGCAATCACCCCCCAGTGACACCAATACAGTGATCAGTGCTAAAAAAAGCACTGACACTGTACTAATGGCACTGGGCAGGAAGGGGTTAATGTGAGGAGCAATCAAAGGGTTAACTGTGTGATGGGTGTGTTTTACTATGGGGCTGTGTGCTTCACTGTAAGCACACTGCTTTGGATGGCAGTGTTCCCGAGCTGACAGGGAGGAGAACTGTTAGTAAACAAAACAGTTCTCCTCCTGTTAGTAAACAAAACAGTTCTCCTCCCCGTCGAAGATGCTCGACAATCACCCCCCAGTGACACCAATACAGTGATCAGTGCTAAAAAAAAAAGCACTGACACTAAACTAATGGCACTGGGCAGGAAGGGGTTAACATGAGGGGCGATCAAAGGGTTAACTGTGTGCTGGGAGTGTGTTTTTACTATGGGTGTCTGTGTGCTTCACTGTAAGCACACTGCTTTGGGTGGCTGTGCTGCCATCCAAAGCAGTGTGCCTGAGCTGACAGGGAGGAGAACTGTTAGTAAACAAAACAGTTCTCCTCCCCATTGAAGACCCTCGGCAATCACCGGGCACTGGTGAGTGATCACCGGCCGAAAACCGGTGATTGACAGCCATGCCCGCATATGGCCTAGCGCTTGCCCCTCACGTATATATACGTGATTTTGCGTACCCGGGACACCCTGTAGCAGTATTTCTGCTATAGGGCGGTCGGGAAGCGGTTAAAATGCAGGTGGAGAGCTAAGCTGACATTGCGTGCTACGATACATACAATAAAACCTGAACCTTCTGAGAACCGATACAGGAAAGCAAATGTCCTCCATATGTATACAGCAATTAGTATATTTACCTTGTTTGCATGATAAAATATTCAAATAATCAGCGGTGCTTTGTTATATGTCCCAGTGAGGCTCTGTGACGGAGTAGACGGTCGTTGGCTTTCTGTGGGCCTGGTGTAGACCAGACGCCTGGTGGTTGGGGATCCAGGCCTCGCGCGTACATGGTGCGCCATATCATTTATTATTTTATTGATGCCGTTTTCCCTTTCATTGCCGCTCTGCTCCTGAACGTATTGTACAGAGATCCCACAGGAAGTGCAGGACATCTATACATCTTCCAAAAACCAAACCTTCCCTTACTGTTTGTTGGCGTATTCCAGCTGCGGTGTCAGAGGGCGCCGGGGAGCATGTGGAAGGGCTGGAACAGAGCCGGGAGCGCGGCCATATTGAGGACTTTGGTTTCCTGTCTCCTGGCTGGGAAGGGGGATTGGGGGAATTGGAGCGAAATCCCTGCTGTTCTTTAAGACACCTTTTCTCCTTCGCCCATATGGATCCAATTTTCTTTATGTGACTGAACAGGCCTCGGAACCTGGAAATCGACTTAGGCCTGAATTTATTTATTTATTTATTTTTAAAAATCAGCCTTTTAACGAACAGCCGAAATCAATCTGAAAATGTGTGCTGGCTCATTGTAAGGGGGCTTAATGACATCTGGATGGAACAGGGGCTCTTTTATTTATTACAGGTACTTATATAGCACCATCAATTTATGCAGTGCTTTACATATACAGTGGAGCAAAAAAGTATTTAGTCAGCCACCAATTGTGCAAGTTCTCCCACTTAAAAAGATGAGAGAGGCCTGTAATTGGCATCATAGGTAGACCTCAACTATGAGAGGCAAAATTAGAAAAAAAAATCCAGACAATCACATTGGCTGATTTTGAAAGAATTTATTTGCAAATTATGGTGGAAAATAAGTATTTGGTCAATATCAAAAGTTCATCTCAATACTTTGTTATATATCCTTTGTTGGCAATGACAGAGGTCAAACGTTTCCTGTAAGTCTTCACAAGGTTGGCACACACTGTTGCTGGTATGTTGGCCCATTCCTCCATGCAGATCTCCTCTAGAGCAATGATGTTTTGGGGCTGTCGCTGGGCAACACGGACTTTCAACTCCCTCCAAAGGTTTTCTATGGGGTTGAGATCTGGAGACTGGCTAGGCCACTCCAGGACCTTGAAATGCTTCTTACGAAGCCACTCCTTCGTTACCCCCGGGTGGTATGTTTGGGATCATTGTCATGTTGGAAGAACCAGCCACGTTTCATCTTCAATGCCCTTGCTGATGGAAGGAGGTTTGCACTCAAAATCTCATGATACATGGCCCCGTTCATTCTGTCCTGTACATGGATCAGTCGTCCTGGTCCCTTTGTGGAGAAACAGCCCCAAAGCATGATGTTGCCACCCCCATGCTTCACAGTAGGTATGGTGTTCTTTGGATGCAACTCAGCATTCTCTCTCCTCCAAACAGGACGAGTTGTGTTTCTACCAAACAGTTCTATTTTGGTTTCATCTGACCATATGACATTCTCCCAATCCTCTTCTGGATCATCCAAATGCTCTCTAGCAAACTTCAGACAGGCCCGGACATGTACTGGCTTAAGCAGGGGGACACGTCTGGCACTGCAGGATCTGAGTCCCTGGCGGCATAGTGTGTTACTGATGGTAGCCTTTGTTACGTTGGTCCCAGCTCTCTGCAGATCATTCAATAGGTCCCCCTGTGTGGTCCTGGGATTTTTGCTCACCGTTCTTGTGATCATTTTGACCCCACGGGGTGAGATCTTGCGTGGAGCCCCAGATCGAGGGAGATTATCAGTGGTCTTGTATGTCTTCCATTTTCTAATTATTGCTCCCACAGTTGATTTGTTCACACCAAGCTGCTTTCCTATTGCAGATTCAGTCTTCCCAGCCTGGTGCAGGTCTACAATTTTGTTTCTGGTGTCCTTCGACAGCTCTTTGGTCTTCACCATAGTGGAGTTTGGAATGTGACTGTTTGAATTGTGGACAGGTGTCTTTTATACTGATAACAAGTTCAAACAGGTGCCATTGATACAGGTAATGAGTGCAGGACAGAGGAGCCTCTTAAAGAAGAAGGTACAGGTCTGTGAGAGCCAGAAATCTTGCTTGTTTGTAGGTGACCAAATACTTATTTTCCACCATAATTTGCAAATAAATTCTTTCCAAATCAGCCAATGTGATTGTCTGGATTTTTTTTCTCATTTTGTCTCTCATAGTTGAGGTCTACCTATTATGCCAATTACAGGTCTCTCTCATCTTTTTAAGTGGGAGAACTTGCACAATTGGTGGAGGACTAAACACTTTTTTGCCCCACTGTATATATGTACACTATATTGGCAAAGTATTGGTCGGCCGGCCTTTACACGCTCATGACCTTTAATGGCCCCCCAGTCTTAGTCCGTAGGGTTCAATATGAGTTGGCCCCGCCCTTTGCAGCTATAACAGCTTCAACTCTTCTGGGAAGACCGTCCACAAGGTTTAGGAGGGTGTCTATGGGAAGGTTTGACCATTCTTCCAGAAGCACATTTGTCAGGTCAGGCACTGATGTCGGACGAGTAGGCCTGGCTCACAGTCTCCGCTCTGATTCATCCCAAAGGTGTTCTATGGGGTTGAGGTCAGGACTCTGTGCAGGCCAGTCAAGTTCCTCCACCCCAAACTGGCTCCTCCATGTCTTTATGGACCTTGCTTTGTGCACTGAAATGACAGTTAGTGCTCTGAATTGAAACAAATGCACACTATAGAGGGATATGGCTGTAATGAGACACTCATCTGGCATAGTTAGGGTGCGACTTGGCATGCTATTTGCAAGTCGCATGGCATGCAAAGCACATGCTAATTGCATCCAGTGTGACCTGGGACTACGGGTCCTAAACATGAGTACCACACAGTACAGCATTCAGCCGTAGTGTATTTCAGTCTAAGACCCCTTCCACATGGGGCATGCTCAGAGGGGAATCTGTTCGCTGATCCCCGGCTGAGCAAGTAGATGTGTGGTCCGTGTCCGCTCCGCTTATTCAGAGCGGACACAGACACAGCCCGCTGTGCTCTAGGGGCGGTCGGCTGTAAACGGATTACCTGTCTGTGTACACCTGACTGCCATCTGATTCGATCTGATAGACAGACAGAGAACGGATCCCCATCTGTCTCTTTTTAGTGGAAAGGATCAGATTGGATGTAGGTGGATGTGAACACAGACAGAACCATTTACATCCGCCACTCCATAGAGCAGTGGTTCTCAACCTGTGGGTCGCGACCCCTTTGGGGGTCGAACGACCCTTTTACAGGGGTCGCCTAAGACCATCGGAAAACACATATTTCTGATGTGTAAAAAGCAGCTACTGTGTAGAAAGCAGCTACTGTGTTGAAAGCAGCTACTCTGTTAAAAGCAGCTACTGTGCTAAAAGCAGCAGTATTGGAGGTAAAACGACACTTCATAAATTATAATTACTGGGTAAATAATTTTATGGTTGGGGGTCACCACAACATGAGGAACTATATTAAAGGGTCACGGCATTAGGAAGGTTGAGAACCACTGCCATAGAGAATAATGGGAGGTCTGATCGGGTCCACCCCTGTGAAAGGGGCCTTATAGACATTGACAGGCTGCAGGCAGGGGGGCTGAACGCTGCACCTGTGCCTCCCGGGCACAATAAGGCTAGGTTCACACCTATGCAGGTTTGCTGTTTCTGCATTGCGTTTTTGCATTTGCGTTTTTGACGCGATATTGCTGCTTTTGTTATGAATTTTGCAGGTTTTTTTTTTTTTTTCATTTTTTAAACATTTTCTTGTTGTTAGGCAGATTTAAAATGCAAGGATAAATATATATATATATAAACCTGCGCTAATAAGAACCACAATAGATAATCAATAATCAAAAATGAAGTGTAAAAAAACATATAGCAGCTGAACACAAAACCCTGATACTAGGCAATCAACAATAAATACATAAAAGTGCTGCGCTTAAAAAGTTACAGATAATCAAAAGAACACAGTGAAAAATGTGTAAAAAAAATAGTCCATCTAAAAAGAAAAGAAAGTTCCCAGAGACTGTGATGAAACAAAAGAAATCCAAGGACCGTTGTCGTGTCACCAACCATTACTACAGAAGGCTTACCAGAAAGGCAGGACCCCCTGTTACGAGCGGTCAATCGCGCTTTGTTAACCCCTTGGCGCGGGCGCATCCCGGCCCTTTAAGGGTTTCAGAAGCCAGGAGGTGGGGTAGGGTTTACGGCGGTCACATGATCGGGAAAGGTCCCGATCTCAAGAGGAGATCTTTCGATCGGGACCTTTCTGTGAGTACCGGATATGTGTGGTAGGAGTGCGCAGGGCGTGCGCTCTCAGCACATATGTATTTTTTAATAGAACGCAAATGTGCAGCCGTTCGACGTCAAGACCCAGACGCCGGGAGGCTGCACTTTTGCGTTCAGCCGGCGTGAAGAGGTTAAACAATCAAGAAAGCCGGTCACTCGAATCCTCCTCCAGATCACCAAAACAGCAGATAAGGATTTTCCAAACAATGGACCTTAATTAGGGTAGATGTAAGCAAACATCATTAGACATTGATTGGCAAAAAAAAAATCCAAATTTTCCAGTTTCCAAAATGGCCGCCGGCCGTTCGTGCATGCACAGTAGCATGTGTGCATGGCCCCACCTTACGCGTTTCGTCACAGGTACTGTCATCAAGGGAAGATTTAAAATGCAAAACACTGCAAAAACACACTACATGCTTTTCTGCAGCATTTCCATTGAAGTCTATAGAACCAAAAACGCAACTTTTTGCATTAAAAAAAAAAATCCTTGACCCTTTCCAAAAAACTCGTCGGGTTTAAATGCGGAGATGTGAACTTGTCCCATAGGAAATCATGTTAAATGGACTGTACTGCATTTCTGCAAAATGCTGCAGAAAATGCTTAGGTGTGAACCTGGGGTTAAATTGGAGATTGGACGCACATGAGCGGCGTATGCATGGGGGCCCAGAGTGAACTTTGCGGTAACTTCATAAAATATGGGTAGAACTCAGATTTGCAAGTGGGCATGAATGCACTATTTTTAACTTGCCATTTGTATAAACACATTTGTATAAAAATAGATACTTTTGTTCTGATTAACAGCGAACAGTACTGTTTATCCATACTGAGAGAATCGTGATTAGAATGTTATACGGTTTTATTTGATCTCGGTGTACTCGGTGTTTTATATTTTATAATATAATGTTCCACAAAGAACCCGGGATGGTTGGAATATTGCTGTTTGCGGAATGTTTGTCACATTAAGTCATCACAATGAAGTCTACCTGGAGGTGTGCTGTCACCTGGGATTCTGTCTTTCCATTATAAATATGGCTGATGATATTGACTTTTGCTGTTTTAAGTTTCCACACTCCTTCTTGGCAATTAAGTGTGATTATTGTTAGCACAGCTGTGTAGTACAACCCTTCTATTACAGCTGTGTGGTACAACCCTTCTATTACAGCTGTATGGTACAACCCTTCTATTACAGCAGTATGGTACAACCCTTCTATTACAGCAGTATGGTACAACCCTTCTATTACAGCTGTGTAGTACAACCCTTCTATTACAGCAGTGTACAGCTGTATGGTACAACCCTTCTATTACAGCAGTATAGTACAACCCTTCTATTACAGCTGTGTGTAGTACAACCCTTCTATTACAGCTGTGTAGTACAACCCTTCTATTACAGCAGTATGGTACAACCCTTCTATTACAGCAGTATAGTACAACCCTTCTATTACAGCATTATGGTACAACCCTTCTATTACAGCATATGGTATGGTACAACCCTTCTATTACAGCAGTATGGTACAACCCTTCTATTACAGCAGTATGGTACAACCCTTCTATTACAGCTGTGTAGTACAACCCTTCTATTACAGCAGTATAGTACAACCCTTCTATTACAGCAGTATAGTACAACCCTTCTATTACAGCAGTATGGTACAACCCTTCTATTACAGCAGTATGGTACAACCCTTCTATTACAGCTGTGTAGTACAACCCTTCTATTACAGCTGTGTAGTACAACCCTTCTATTACAGCAGTGTAGTACAACCCTTCTATTACAGCATTATGGTACAACCCTTCTATTACAGCAGTGTAGTACAACCCTTCTATTACAGCAGTATGGTACAACCCTTCTATTACAGCAGTATGGTACAACCCTTCTATTACAGCTGTATGGTACAACCCTTCTATTACAGCTGTATAGTACAACCCTTCTATTACAGCAGTGTAGTACAACCCTTCTATTACAGCAGTATAGTACAACCCTTCTATTACAGCTGTGTAGTACAACCCTTCTATTACAGCAGTGTAGTACAACCCTTCTATTACAGCAGTATAGTACAACCCTTCTATTACAGCTGTGTAGTACAACCCTTCTATTACAGCTGTGTAGTACAACCCTTCTATTACAGCTGTGTAGTACAGTACAACCCTTCTATTACAGCTGTGTAGTACAACAACCTTCTATTACAGCTGTGTAGTACAACCCTTCTATTACAGCTGTGTAGTATGGTACAACCCTTCTATTACAGCAGTATAGTACAACCCTTCTATTACAGCAGTATGGTACAACCCTTCTATTACAGCAGTATGGTACAACCCCTTCTATTACAGCAGTATGTACAACCCTTCTATTACAGCAGGTACAACCCTTCTATTACAGCAGTATAGTACAACCCTTCTATTACAGCAGTATGGTACAACCCTTCTATTACAGCAGTGTAGTACAACCCTTCTATTACAGCAGTATAGTACAACCCTTCTATTACAGCAGTGTAGTACAACCCTTCTATTACAGCAGTATGGTACAACCCTTCTATTACAGCTGTGTAGTACAACCCTTCTATTACAGCAGTATGGTAAACCCTTCTATTACAGCTGTATAGTACAACCCTTCTATTACAGTATTATTATAGACCCCTTTACCCACCTGGTAGGCTAATTCAGTTCAAAATACTTCATATGACATATTTCACCAAGCAGCGCCTCCATAGAAGTTACCCTACCATAGAGCCCAACTGTTTCCCAATGAGTTACAGGCTAGAGAACAGCGATAGTAAATCAGAACCACTTGCAAAATTGAGTGATAATGATTCGTGGGGGAAATTCCTCATCAGACACTGAAAACGATTCTGCGACTTTGCTCAGCGATGTGCGAACTTGGCGCTATATTTCAAATTTCAGTATTTTTGGTTTGATTATATTATTGAATTAAATTTATTATTATTATATGATTATTTTTTATGATTATTTATTAAATTATAATTTATGATTTCGTGTTTCAAATTTTAACATCCCCGGGATGGTTTACTAGACTCTTGTTCGGACAGATTTCAGTGAGTTATTCCTAAAAATTACAGCCTACAATAAAAAAAACTACATATTTCCATTCAAAAAAATGTACCGCTTTGAGCACAGAAATACTGACATAATCAGACCTTTTCAATTTATAAAACAATAAAAAAAAATGTTGAAAAAAAATAAGTATTGTAGTAGAAGCCTTCTATTACAGTACTGTAGTGTAATACTTTCATCACAGTAAGGGAGATTTACTAAAACTGGAGCACTCAGGATCTGGTACAGCTGTGCATGGGAGCCAATCAGCTTTTAATTTCAGCTTGTTCAATTATGTTTTGACAATAAAATCTGGAAGCTGCTTGGTTACTGTGCAGAGCTGCCCCAGATTTTGCACTCTCCAGTTTTTAGTAAATAACCCCCATTGCACGCTAGAGTTATTTTTACTTAAAATAAAACATTTTTTTAACTCAAACAAAGTCCAAAAGCGCTGGTTTGCCGCGTTTTTTCAGCTTTAGAGCTTTTTTACAGCTAAAAACTCCTCTACAAACCCACTAGTCCTGGGTTTTTTTTTCCAGCCAAAAAACATTGATTCCAGTCTATGTGTGCATGGAAACATAACATATAACATGCTGGGGATGGACACATAGGATAACATGCTGGAGATGGACACATAGGATAACATGCTGGGGATGGACACATAGGATAACATGCTGGAGATGGACACATAGGATAACATGCCGGGGATGGACACATAGGATAACATGCTGGAGATGGACACATAGGATAACATGCCGGGGATGGACACATAGGATAACATGCTGGAGATGGACACATAGGATAACATGCTGGGGATGGATACATAGGATAACATGCTGGAGATGGACACATAGGATAACATGCTGGGGATGGACACATAGGATAACATGCTGGGGATGGACACATAGGATAACATGCGGGGATGGACACATAGGATAACATGCTGGAGATGGACACATAGGATAACATGCTGGGGATGGACACATAGGATAACATGCTGGAGATGGACACATAGGATAACATGCCGGGGATGGACACACAGGATAACATGCCAGGGATGGACACATAGGATAACATGCCGGGGATGGACACATAGGATAACATGCCGGGGATGGACACGTAGGATAACACGCCGGGGATGGACACGTAGGATAACACGCCGGGGATGGACACGTAGGATAACACGCCGGGGATGGACACGTAGGATAACACGCCGGGGATGGACACGTAGGATAACACGCCGGGGATGGACACGTAGGATAACACGTCGGAGATGGACACGTAGGATAACACGCCGGGGATGGACACATAGGATAACATAACATGCTGGGGGGGTTTACTGGCTGTAGAAAAAATCACCAAAAGCCGAAAACAGCCGCTGTAAAAACGTCCCGTGTGTATGAGGGCTAACAGCCCCCAGTGCACCCTGTCTGCACGCGCACCTTCCCGGCTGTCAAATTGGGTGCAACGGCTGCTGCGTCCCAGTTGACATGATTGGGGATGAACTGAACACGTGTACATCCCCATGTGGCCCTGACACGGGTGAACGCTGTAGCACGCCCCTGTGAACGAGGCCGATCACAGTGGAGCCCCATGTACAATCGGATCCATTGACTGCAGAGGCTGTGTGTATGGGATAACATGCGGATTGTCCCGGGATGTATTGTGTGCCAGAATGGTCCTCAATGAGGCATCTGGTGTTGGACAGGAAATGCGCAGTGTCACACGGACGCCTCATGTGACACCAATCCTGCCCATTTCCCACTTCATAAAGAACTTTTGTAGCTGGTGGCTCTGCCGTCCTATCCCCGTGGTGCAATGTACCGCGCGTTGTGTACAGTAAACATGTTTACACTATAAATGGGGATTAGTGAATGCGCCGGCGGCACTGCATAGCGGACGGCTGCGCTTGGCGATGTTGTCCTGTCCTCTCCCACTGTGGTTTCTGGTGGAGGCCGGTGGGTGAAGGTCAGCGGTGCGGGGGTCTTCTTTACCGAGATACCCAATAACTAGACTAGAGCCCATTCACACTTGGGGTCCAAAGTCACATGACAGGTCGCACCCCATGTTTCCCAATGAGTTACCCTTCATTCAAGTTGTAGCGACTTGACAGTAGTTCCTCCACTACTTTCATGTGACTTAAGGGCCATAGACTTCAATGAAAACCCTCCAAAGTCACATTGCACCACGTTTCCCAATGAGTTACCCTTCATATCTGTGCGACTTCAATTTGCAGCGACTTGAAAGTAGTTCCTCCACTACTTTGATAAGAGTTTCCTGCAACTTAACGGCCATAGACTTCAATGTAAACCCTCCAAAGTCACATGACAAGTCGCATCCCATGTTTCCCAATGAGTTACCCTTCATTCAAGTTGTAGCGATGTGAAAGTAGTTCCTCCACTACTTTCATGTGACTTAAGGGCCATGGACTTCAATGTAAACCCTCCAAAGTCACATGACAAGTCGCACCCCATGTTTCCCAATGTGTTACCCTTCATTCAAGTTGCAGTGACTTGAAAGTAGTTCGTCAACTACTTTGGTCGGACTTTCATGCGACTTAAGGGCCATAGACTTCAATGAAAACCCTCCAAAGTCACATCGTACCACGTTTCCCAATGAGTTACCCTTCATATCTGTGCGACTTCAATTTGCAGCGACTTGAAAGTAGTTCCTCCCCTACTTTGGTCAGACTTTCCTGCGACTTAACGGCCATAGACTTCAATGTAAACCCTCCAAAGTCACATGACAAGTCGCACCCCATGTTTCTCAATGAGTTACCCTTCATTCAAGTTGTAGCGACTTGAAAGTAGTTCCTCCACTACTTTCAAGGGAAATAAAGTATTTTAAATGCTGGCTTGCATTGTTCTTTCTTTCCATAAATCATTTTTGTTCACTTGCAATGTGCCTTCTAAAATGCTAGAAAAAGTGACTAGTTGATTCCCTAGCAGGGACGGACTGACCATTTGGAAACCAGGGCACTGCCCGAGGGCCCAGGGTCATAAGAGGGCCCCATGAGATGCCCCTGGTACCTTTTTCATAGGCTTTTTTGAGCTTGGGCAAGGACACAGGGGCCCCATGATCCCCTATTGCCCGGGGGCCCCATGAGTTGTTCCCTAGCACAGTTTCCCACTCTTCCACTTTATAACCCCCTCCTCTTCTGGGAGTATCTAATTACTGTCCGTGCTGACCCAGCTCCTCCACCCCTTCCCTCACTTCACTGATGTGAGCTATGACATTAGCAACCATATCACCTACTTTCTGTGCATTTTGGATGCAGAAAAAAAGCAACTGAAACGCATGGAGTGTGAACTGGCCCTGAATGTTAACAGAGCAGCATTACTTTGTGTCTTTTATTATCTGTCTGGATTTCCACTTCAAATGAAGATTCCGCTCCTCGCAAGACCTCCTGCTCTCTAGCTCCCTTGTCTCCTCCTCCCATGCTCGCCTCCAGGACTTCTCCAGAGCCTCTCCCATCCTCTGGAACTCTCTACCCCAATCTATCAGACTATCGCCTACTTTGCTCACTTTTAGGCGATCTCTGAAAACCTCTCTCTTCAGGGAAGCCTATCCTGCCCTCAGCTAATAATGGAATCTTCTACTCCTCCTACCAGTCCATCCCCCACAGTTACTACCTTTTGTACCACCAGCCCCTCCCTCTTAGATTGTAAGCTCCCAGGATCAGGCCCTCCTTACCCTCTTGTATTGAACTGTATTGTTGCTGTATTGTCTCCCTTTTATATTGTAAAGCGCTGAGCAAACTGTTGGCGCTATATAAATCCTGTATAATAATAATATATAAATCCTGTATAATAATAATATATAAATCCTGTATAATAATAATAATATATAAATCCTGTATAAATAGTATATAATAATAATAATCTGCCTGGATTTCCACTTCAAAAGAAGATTTCTGATTGGATGTTGTAGGTCAGTCGGCGTAAAGCTGAAATGCATGACCTGCCTGCATTGCATAGAGAAGCACAGTGACCCAGTGATGAAAATAAATGCAAAAAGGTATTATTTTACAATTTCTTTAGTTTGTTGGATAAAGGAGGAACCAGGGAAGGCAGAATGTCAGCAGATGAATGTTCAGGGGCCCGGATAGGCTACGAGCACCATATTGTGTGTGCACATCCTGCCTATTGTACCGTCGGGGTCAGGATCTGGTCTCTTCCTCATTTGCTGCTTGGTTAACCACTGACATTGACACTGCGCTGTAATGAGGATGAGGCAGGACTCCCGAGGAAGTGAGGAGCCGCCGGCCGGTCATCATACGAGAAGTGACATTATCCCACCGGGGTGAGCTACTGGGAGCATCTCCACTCTACAGAGCCAAGAGGGGTCTCCAGTATGAGGGCTACAGCCTATATTTTACAAATATTCATCGGGGTCCCCCTTACATCAGAGTCCTTATCGGAGCGTCCTTTACATCAAGCTCCCCATTGAAGTCCACCCTTACATTATGGACCCCATCAGAGCCCCCCGTACATCAGGATTCTCATCAAAGCTCCCTCACCCCAGGGTCCTCCTTACAACAGAGTTCACAGCAGATTCACCCTTAAATCAGGATTATCCCTTACACCAGTGTCTCCATCAGGTTCCCCCTTTACCTCAGAGTCCCCCCTTACATCAAGATCCCCACTGAAGACCCCCCTTACTTCAAAACCCTCCTTACATTCTGGACCCCATCAGAGCCCCCCTTAAATCAGGGTTCCCATGAGTGTCCCCTTACATCAGAGTCCCTCCTACATCATAGTCTTCCCTTACATCAGGGTCCCAATCAGAGTCCCACCTTACATCATGGTCCCCATTGAAGTCCCCCTTCTTCAAAGCCCTCCTTACATTATGGGCCTCATCAAAGTCCCCCTTACATCAGGACCTTCATCAAAGTCCCCCTTACATCAAGGTCCCCATCAAAGTCCCACTTACAACATTGTCCCCATCAAAGTCCTCTTACATCAGGGTCCCCATCAAAGTCCCCCTTACATCAGGGTCCCCATCAAAGTCCCCCTTACATCAGGGTCCCCATCAAAGTCCCCCTTACATCAGGGTCCCCATCAAAGTCCCCCTTACATCAGGGTCCCCATCAAAGTCCCCCTTACATCAGGACCTTCATCAAAGTCCCCCTTACATCAGGACCTTCATTAAAGTCCCCCTTACATCAGGGTCCCCATCAAAGTCCCCCTTACATCAGGGTCCCCATCAAAGTCCCACTTACAACATTGTCCCCATCAAAGTCCCCCTTACATCAGGGTCCCCATCAAAGTCCCACTTACAACATTGTCCCCATCAAAGTCCCCCTTACATTAGGGTCCCCATCAAGGTCCCACTTACAACATTGTCCCCATCAAAGTCCCCCTTACATTAGGGTCCCCATCAAAGTCCCCCTTACATCAGGACCTTCATCAAAGTCCTCTTACATCAAGGTCCCCATCAAAGTCCCACTTACATCAGGGTTCCCATCAAAGTCCCCCTTACAACATTGTCCCCATCAAAGTCCCCCTTACATCAGGGTCCCCCTCAGAGTTCTCCCTTACATCAGAGTCCCTCCTTACGTCATGGCCCTCATTGGAATCCCCCCTTACATCAGGATCTTCATCAAAGTCACCCTTACATCAGGGTCTCAGTGAGAGTCCTCCTTACATCAGAGTCCCCTTATACATCATGGTCCCCATCAAAGTCCACCCTTACATCAAGGTCCCCCTCAGAGTTCTCCCTTATATCAGGGTCCTCATCAGAATCCCTCTTACATCAGAGTCCCTCCTTACATCATGGTCCTCCTTGGAGACCCCCCCCCTTTACATCAGGATCCTCATCAAAGTCCCCCTTATTTCAAGGTCCCCACGAGAGTCCCCCTTACATCAATGTCCCCATGTTGTACCTCCTTACAGCAGAGTTCATCCTTACATCAGTGTCCCCTCCTTACATCAGGGTCCCCATGAGAGTCCCCCTTACATCAATGTCCCCATGTTGTACCTCCTTACAGCAGAGTCCATCCTTACATCAGTGTCCCCTCCTTACATCAGAGTCCTTGTTTGGGTTGGGGGATATTGAAGTGCAGTCCATAGGCAGCTTGTGCCAACCTTAGTCCTCGACCTGTGCACATTGA